TCGATTTCTTTACCGGATTGACCAACCTCCTCGATCTTTCTGTCGATCTTTGTCCTGGATCGAGTGAAATCCTCGATTTCCTGATCGATCTCTAAGCATCCGCCTTCATCTTCTTTCACAACCTTGCGAGAATCAAGGATGTGAACATACTCCTGGGTCTGCTTGCTCAGAAAACCATACTCCCCTGGCTCCTTAGTGAAAGCTAGCTGCAAGTGATCTTCTTGTGCTAACTCCTCAAGCAACTCGTCAGCTAAAGTATCCAAAGTCTCAATGTAGAAAGCTTGCCCTCCAATGGTTGGTTTCTTCAAGTGGCTTCAGCGGTTGCAAGAAACGGTCTTCCAAGGATAAGAAGATCCTTTGGCTCTTCATCCATTTCAAGAACAACAAAATCTGTTGGCACGTTAACTCCACTGATCCTCATGGGAAAATCTTCAAGCATACCCACATGAAGCCTTATGCTTCTATCAGCTAGCACAAGAGAGATCCTACACTCCTTAAACTTTGTGAAACCGAGCTTCTTTGCAATGGAATGGGGCATGAGATTTATGCTTGCACCAAGATCACATAAGCAGCTTTGAAATGTCAAAGGACCAAGAGCGCAAGGTATGGTGAATGATCCTGGATCCCCTAGGTTCTTGGGTACTATCTCCTTGTGGATGATAGCACTACACTCTTCACTAAGCACCAAACTTCTTCACTTTCCTTGTTCTTCTTAGTAAGCGTATCTTTGAAAAACTTTGCACACTTAGGCATCATGGCTAGACAATCCACCAAAGGTAGCTTGATCTCAACATCTTTCAAATGCTTCTCAAAGACTGCTCTATGCTTCTCTAGCAGCTGTTTCTTGAACCGGCCAGGAAAATGAAGCTTCGGCTTGTACGGTGGAGGAAGAAATGCATCATTCTCTTTGCTCACCTCCTCTACCTTCCTCTCTACAACCGCTTCTTTACCCTTTCTTGGTCTTTCAATCCACACATTATCAAAGGTAATCTCCTCATCATTTGAAAGCTTACCCTCCCCCTCTTGAACTACAATGTCCTCATTGTCTTTAGGTACAACTCTCGGCGGAAGCTCTTTGCCATTTCTCAAGGTGATAGCGTTTGCATACTCCTTGGGATTTTGCTCACACTTGCCCGGTAAGCTTCCTTGACCGCTTATACTGGCTTTACCTTTCTCTAACTGCTTGATCTTGTTATTTAGATTGGTGATTTGTGTAGAGACGTCAGTAAGAGAGGAATCTAGCCGGTTGTTCATCTCGACAAACTTTTGATTTGTAGAAGCTTGACCTTGAAGCAACTGTTGAAACATTGCTTGAACCGGATCTTGAGGAGGCGGTGGAGCTTGTTGCTGTTGAGGCATGAAACCGGGGGGAAACATAGGAGTGTAACCTTTGTTGCCTTTCTGTTGCTACTGACCTTGAAAGTTCCCTTGCCTCTGACCTTGATATCTATTGTTTTGTTGAAAACCATTGTTGTAAGGAACAAACGGCTTTGCTTGTTGAGGAGGGTACACCTGATCCTTTGGATTCTCAACGTTGGTGCTACAGTATGAGACATTGTTGTTGTCCTCGTATCCTTGTGAATATCCCTGAGGCTTGTTGTAGTTCTGACCAGCAATCCAATCAGCTTCTTCTTGACTTAACTCTAGCTCCTCTAAGACATCTTCTGCTTCTCCCACGATATGTACTTGAGAACAATTAATGGCAGATAATCGTCTCTGAAAAGCTTAGAAAAGATCAGGATGAAAGAAAGTTGTGGGATAATGAAAGTGACAGCCTCCCTTTGCCCAAAATAGCTAAACCGCCAAATGGTCCCCTCACTACGCTCCAAAAACGGTTAAGGCCCCAGAGATCGACCTTGAGATCGATCAGTTCACTCGATCTTCTTCATGGATCGCCATCTTCTGCTCGATCTTCAATTCGATCTGGTTGGATGGATCGAGCTCTTTCTTCGATCTTCTACTCAATCTTTGGATGATCGAGTCGTGGTCTCGATCTGGCTCTCGTTCTGCATGGCGTCATTCACGTCCGTACTCCAGTTCGATCTCCTCTCTCGATCTCAGTCTCGATCTTTCCCCTTGAAACGACTTAGGTGACTCGATCTTCTGGTCGATCTCGTCTAGATCGACCTGCCTTGCTCGATCCGCTACTCTTTTTGGGGTCCTTTACATGCATGGCTGAGTTCTCCAAGTGTCCACAAGCTTCTAGCTGATCCTCCTCACGTTCACATAACCTCCACAACTCCAGAGTGCTCCAAACAACCTGATAATGATGCAAAAGTGCAAGAAATATGCAAAATACGAACGCAAAGGGACTTAGGACCTAAAATGCAACAAATGGAACAAACTAGCCTATAATGCAAGATGAATGCATGAAAAACTATCCTTAATGCATGCAAGATATGCAAAATATATGGTAATATCACAAAGGAGCTGTCTGGAGCAAGGAGGAAGCATGGGGATAATTCAAGGAGTTGCCTAAGCTAAGGAAGAGCAAAAGGAGCCAAGGAGGATAGTTTTTGGTGCAGCATCGATCAAGAGCAGAACAACATCGATCACTAGTTCACATCGATCAAGCCTGGAGTCCACATCGATCACATCTGGTCGATGTAAAGCAATAGAATAGATGGAGGTTCACATCAATCATCCATATCGGTCACATGTGATCGATGTAAAGAGACAGGACAGTCACATCGATCAGTAGCATCGATCAAGACTGATCGATGTAAACGGCAGGGACTTCAGGACATCTACATCGATCATCAGCTGATGGATGTCAAGCACCAGAAATCAGCATCGATCATGATGTTGACCTTATCCGAACACCTTTTATTTACAAGTTTGCCACTCTTTTAGGGGTTTTTTTTAGTATAAATAGCCATGAACCAAAGGTTTTTAACATGTTCTAAGTTCTTGCTAAACTTTTATTGCTTTTCTACCTTTGTAAGAATTTTAATTAAAGTTTTGTATTTGCCTTTTAAATCTTCTCTAATCTCTTTTTTAATCATGTTTATCATCCTTTCTCTTTGTTATTTGATGAATTCCATGATGATTAGTGAGTAAACTTTTTAGGGTTCTTAGATGTGGTAGATTAGAAGAATTTAAAGGCTTGATTAGGATTTGTTAGTACTTAATTAGATTGATTCCTCTCTATTAATCTGTGTTTAGGCTAGATAAAGATCGCCACATAACCAATTTTCATACTCTAACGAAGTTGTTAAAGCGAGACCTTGAGCTCTACTAAAGATATGGGTTTGTTCTAAAATTTATAAAAAGAAGAATAAAAGAATCAAAAGCTAGAAGAAACCTTACCAAACTGTACTGAACAACCAAACTGAGGAGATAATTGTTGAGGTTTTCTGAGATTCTACCATTTGGTATATGCACATTATCTCATTGACTGAAAGTACTCTCACTAGGTAAAGAATTGAAGCATTGTAAGGCCTCACAACCAAACAATTTAATAGCAGAATGGGAATTTGGAATATTTTACTTTCCAGAGATTTCATCCTTTATATCCGTGATCTCATCTCCAATCGTGCCTTTACCACCAATTCCCAAATTTGAAACACCAAATCCATGAAGGTTTCACACCTAATTCATCTGTCCTTCACATGCACTCCTCGTGGATAATCTTAACGTTGCACAAAGTGTCGCTTAAACTTGAAAATAAATTTGATAAAAAGAAAGAAGATGGTAATCTAAAGTAGCAACTTCACCTGAAATTTATGCTGTGACTGCCAGAAGAAAGAAAGTGCTTAGTTAAAACTTTAATAACCATTCACAGTAATACAACAAACTATATCTCTCACCCATTAAAGAAATTCATGGCATTCTTTCCTAGACAACCTGCATATTCAGCTGAAACTGTAAGAGATGCAATTAGCCTATGAATGTCTCACATCAAATCTCCATGAATTTAACAGAACACTCAAATTAGTTGCCTATAATGATAACAGAATATAGAACTTGTCAATTTAAACGAGTGAAGTAAAGCCGAGGAGTTGATGTTATTGTATATACCTTATAGGATTTAGGGGAAGTTTAATGATCTCACAATCTTTAGTTTAGAGTTTCATATATGAATATCCTTTGCAGACAATAGTTCTTTTCATTTTAAGTGACAGAGGCAATTTCTTTAACGGGTTATCTGGTGATAGAACGCTACATGAGAGAACTTTAATGGAAGTGATGAGTAATTATCACCCAGATTTACAGATTGTGTATGAAAACTAAATATAATATAAGAAGGTTAAGCGGAAAAAAGAACGTATAATCTAAGAAGGTTTAATCCTCTTTTAAATAAAACAATTTTTTTTCAGAGATCGGTACTTAGTACAGTCATCTCGTCGCCTTCAAAATAGGAACAACAAAAACGGCGAACAAATTGGTAACAAAATGAAAGGGAGAAATACGCTTTTAATGTTAAGCGCTAATCTCAAAACCAATCTTCTTACAATTCAATACATCTACAGAAGAAATGAGAACATGTAACGATCACGATCCAATCTCCAATCAACTTAAATTTTGTCATCCGTATTGTTTATAACGCTATTGTCTCTTGGATTTTTCCATTCTTTTTGTTTATTAAACAAAATCCACATGTCATTATCTTGTGAGATGATGTGGCACAAGGCTCGAGAGAGCTTTCTCTATTCATATATATGATTTGTCATTTTTTTGTCCTTCAGAGATGTAGGAGGTTCCAAGTCAGCAAATACTAGGATTATCATTGGAGCAGTAATTGGTGTTGTAGTTCTTCTGTTGTTGTTAACTATATCTGGGATTTATGCTCCTAAGCAGAGGAAAAGAGCTGAGAGAGCAACTGATCAAAATGATCCTTTTGGTAAGAAGAGGGTTTTAGTACTACAAAAAGACTACTCCCTTGTTTGATGATAAAATAGGACACCTTCTCTTTTGTATGTTTTAGCAAAGTGGGATACGAGTAAGATCAGTATCGATGCTCCACAGCTAATGGGAGCAAAAGCCTTTAAAGGAAATATATGAACCACTTTTCAGAAGCAAATGATGTTGGTGGTGGAGGTTATGGCAAGGTTTGTGTCTTTACAAATCACATTAATGGAAAGAAGCAATGATATTAAATGAAATTATTTGGTGAAAAACAGGTGTACAAAGGGATTCTTCCCTCTGGACAGCTCATAGCAATCAAAAGAGCTCAACAAGAATCTTTGCAAGGAGGGTTAGAGTTGAAAACTGAGATTGAGCTTCATTCAAAGGTTCATCATAAGAATGTTGTCAAATTGATGGGCTTTGCTTTGATCGAAGTGAACAAATGCTCGTATATGAGTACATTCATAATGGCTCTCTTAGAGATAGTCTCTCAGGTAATACAAAACATCTCTCTATCAAGAGTTATACATGATAATTATTGTGTAATGAATTTGGTAATAATGCAGGGAAGAATGAGATTAGGCTAGATTGGACAAAAAGGCTCAAGATAGCACTTGGTTCAAGAAAGGGAGGTCTAGCTTATCTTCACGAGCTTGCTGATCCTCCAATTATACATAGAGACGTCAAATCACATTACATACTACTTGATGAAAATCTAACTGCCAAGGTTGCTGATTTTGGTATTTCCAAGCTTGTGGGAGACCGAGAGAAAACTCATGTCACAACACAAGTGAAAGGTTCCATGGTGAATAGAGAATCAATCATTAAATATATAAATTCCAGTAACTACAAAAGAAACTAACAATATATGCAAACTAGGGCTATCTTGATCCTGAGTACTACATAACAAATCAACTAACATAGAAGAGTAATGTGTACGAGTTTGGTGTGGTCATGCTTGAGCTATTAACCGGTCAAATTTCAATAGAGAAAGGCAACTACGTGGTGAAAGTGGTGAAAAAGAAGATGGATAAAGCAAGAAGCTTGTATGACCTGCACGAACTGCTAGACACGACTGTCATTGCAAGCAGTGGGAATCTGAAAGGGTTTGAGAAGTATGTAGATCTTGCTCTGAGATGCATAGTGGCGGAACGAGTGAATAAGCCATCTATGGGTGAGGTGGTGAAGGACATTGAGAACATACTGCAACTTGCAGGACTAGACCCTAGCATCGATTCAACGGTGAGTTCAAGAATATACGAGGAAGCATCTGATGATCCTGATGGAAAGGAATCGTTTCCCAGTTTGAAACATCTTGTAAATGTGGAGTCGCATGATTTGTTTCTTGTTATGTATCACTGATAATAAAGTGTAGTAAACACACAACTAATTTTATTTATTTATTATTGAATGTAACATTAATTGAAAAAAACTATTTTCCAACCATCTGCATGTAGCTTTGAGTTTTGTAAAAAGAGTTTAGATTGCATTTGTGATTAAGATCCTAAGAGATGTTATCGAGCTTTCAAAGCGTCTTCGTATCTCTAACGAGTAGACAATACTCAGACTAAATAGACCAATACTACTCAATATGTAGACTTTATAAAACTTGTTTCAATAATGAAGATTTACATAAGACATTTCAGTCAATCATTACAATGGTGAGTTCAAAACGAAAGAGAAAGAGTTTGGTGGAAAAGCAGATAAAACAAAATAATTTGTTCGCGTGATGGGAGACAAAACGTGTGGACAACCGTTTTTATAAGGGAAGAGAAAGGAGTGGTTGCCTTAGCTTGATTGTGGGACCACTTGCCCGAAATAGGTAGTTCCCTGGCTTGTAGTGAATCCTTGGAATGAAGCCATTGAAGAAGGTCGTGGTGGATGTGATGATGTCTTAGTACGGATTAGGGACATTGATATGGGGCTTGACGGATTGGGGACTTTGATATGGGGCTTGATTTCTCCATTATTTATCCCATTTTAGCTTGCATTTATCACTAGTTTTAGTCTCTAGACATGCATATTTTGCTTCTTCTTGTCCCATTTGCATATATTTAGGAGTTAGTGTAGTTTTAGGAGCTGCATTGCATTTTGCATGCATTTGGAGTTTTATTCAGGTACTTGAAGGAGTGTGGAGGCCATGTGGTGCAATGGGTGTGAGCTGGGAATGGAGCAAGGAAAGAGACAAAGGCGGAGGGACCAATATTGATGATGATATCGACATCGTGTGATCGATACGGAGCATATCGATGGGCGTATCGACCACTACAACATCGATACAGAAGAGGCAAAGTGTGAAGGAAGCATATCGACTAAGACACCTCGATGCAGCAGAATGGAGTCCATATCGAGCAGTGTATCGACGTCCCAGACCGATACACATGATAGGGCAATACCGAGGACCCATATCGACTTGTTTGATCGATAAGCCTTAACTAAAGGGCGAATGTATCGACTTCACACTTTGGAGAGCCAAACTGATACAACCTGGAAGCCTTCTGTACCGACATGCGTATCGACCAAGAGGCATCGATACAACCCAAAAGAAGAGAAGATATCGACATGTGTATCGATATTCCATGTCGATATGGTCTGTCCGAGTCAGCTTACTTTTGGTTTAATCTTGGTTTACTAGGGGTGTCCTAGATCCCCAATAAATACCAAAGTTCTAAAAGGGTTAGGCAACTTGGATCTCGTTATTTTCTTTCTGTTCTTGCACTTAAAACCTTTTTTTTTCAGCTTTGCTTGTAAGAACTAGTTTGATTTAGTGAATTTCTGTATTTGCCTTTGATCTATACTTTTTTATTCTGCTTCCTAATCATGCTTAACCATCTTTTCTCTCTGGAATTTGTGGTTTTGACTATGGCTAGTGAGTAGTCTTATTTAGGGTTTGAGATGGGATCAATTAAAGGGGTTTTAGGACTAGATTAGTGATGTCTTATGCTTAATATGATTGTCTTCTCTCTATTAGATGTGCTTATCACTAGATTAGTCTTGGCTAGGCTTGTTTAGTATCTTGGCTTTCTCTAGCGCCTGGTAAGTGTTTGATGAAATGCTGCTTAGAGTCTCTTAGAGGATTTGTATGCTTAGCCTAAGAAATTAGATTTCTAAGGTGCATTTTGGCTTTATAGGATTGGAGTTCTGTTCTGAATGCTTGCTTATCATGTGTTTGAGTACAGGGATTTATCTTAAATGTGGGCTTAGCAAAGTGATTAATGTCAAGGAATTCAGCTAGTTATATTTGTTAATCTTATGCCTAGAAGATAGAATTTTTTTGAATAATTTTGAAGCATCACTAGTTAGGTTCTAATCCCCTCTTAATCAATAACCCCCATCTTAGATCTTTACTTCTTCTATTTGAATTTCTTGCTTGCTTAGTTTAGTCTTTAGACTTGTTAGTATTGTTCACAACTGCCATATTTGAATTGTGCTTGACTTAAATGATTTGCTGTATTCTTGGTTCCTTAAGAACTCAGATGGATTGATACCTACATACTACAATGATATGAGTATATGAAGAATTTGCTAGCTTGTAATAATCCTGCTACCAATTGGCGCTGTTGCGCATATGGGTTTAGCTTAAGCATTAGGATTTCTGGATTGTCTAAGAAGAGGCTTTTATTTTTTTTCTGTTTTCTACTGATTGCAAGCTGCTCTTCTGCTTATAGGTGTATGAACTTGAGGTCTAAAGGCAATCAAAACCTTCTGGACTATCAACACAACATTCTGCAAGTGGAAAGAGCACTAAGAGCTACAAGAGAAAGAGAGAGACTGCAAAGGTTTCATTAGCTCAACATGGAGCATGATATAGATGATCAGTGGTTTCATGGACTACCAGGAGCGCAAGGTGCTCAAGGAATTGCTGGAGTTCAGGGACAGCAGGGAGTCCAAGGTGAACAAGGTTAGAGAGGACCAGCACATGGTGCACGCCCAATCAGACCAATTGGAGCTGGTGACGCCCCAAACGCTTACAACAACCACAATGGGATCATTCCTCCAGCAGTGCAGAACAACAACTTCAAAATCAAGTCTGGATTGATTTCAATGGTTCAGAGCAGTAAGTTCCATGGGTTGCCACTTGAAGACCCTTTGGATCACTTGGATAATTTTGACAGACTTTGCTCACTAACCAAGATCAATAGAGTCAGCAAAGATGGCTTCAAGCTCAGGTTGTTTCCCTTCTCTCTTGGAGACAAAGCCCACCAATGGGAGAAAAACTTTCCACAAGGAAGTATCACCAGCTGGGATGAGTGCAAGAACGCTTTTCTAGCAAAGTTCTTCTCTGCTTCAAGAACTTCTAGAATCAGGAATGAGATATCTGGTTTTGCTTAGAAGAATAGTGAGAGTTTTGGTGAAGCCTGGGTGAGATTCAAAGGATACACACTGCAATGCCCTCACCATGGATTCTCACAATCTTCACTACTCTCAACCTTATACAGAGGCGCTCTCCCCAAGATCAGGATGCTGGTTGATACTGCCTCCAATGGGAACTTCCTATCAAAGGATGTAGATGAAGGCATAGAGCTTGTGGAGAACTTAGCCCAAAGTGATAGGAATTATAGTGAAGATTATGACAGAACTCCAAGAAGAGAGGATAACAACACTAAGAAGGAGCTGGAGTCTACAAGAAGAGAGTTGAAAGAGCTGAATTCAAGTTTGACAAACTGCTACAAGTGCAACACAAAGAGATCAACTTTGTTGGTGAAATGGTCGAGATGGATAATGAAGAGGAGCCTCAAGTGGAGGAGATGAATTACTTGGGTAATCAAGGTGGATACAATGGATATGGGAATTTCAGACCCAACCCCAACTTGTCATATAGGAGCAACAATGTTGCTAACCCCCAAGATCAAGTTTACCCTCCACAACAACCTCAAGGGAATCAGCCAAGACCTTTTGTGCCATACAACCAAGGATATGCACCAAGGAACAACTTTCAAAGCAACTTCCAGCAAAATCAGTCCACTCCTCCTGGATTCTCTCAAGGTCAAGCAAGCTCATCCAACACCAATGATGCTGAAGTGAAAAGACTGCTGCAACAAAACTTTTAAGGCCAACAAGCTACTAATGTGGAGATCACCAAGAAGTTTGTTGAAGTCTACAACATAATGGATACTCTTCATATGGAGTTGTCCAACAAGACTGAGGGATTGGCTTCAAGAGTGAAGACCCTAGAGAAGAACAAGAGCATAGCTGGTCCCAAAACTCAAGGAAACCTTCCTGGAAAACCAGAAGCCAACCCTAAGGAGTTCTGCAATGCAATAGTCACTGAAGAAGAGACCTTCTCAGATGAAGAGGAAGCTGTCATTGATGAGTTCCTTTCTCTGTTCACTGAGGACACTGAACTTCAGAGTGGGGGAGAAGAGTTTTTGGCTGCTGACGCTAACCATGAAGCTGCAAAGGAGAAGTCTCTTGATGCAACAGCAACTAAGGAAGAGGAGAAGAAAGGGCTACTTGAGGAGAATAAAGCTGAGAAACAAACTGGGATCTATGATCATTCTCCTTACAAGCCAGCTCTCCCCATTCCTGGAAGGTTTAAGAAGCATCTTATGGATAAGTACACCACCCTCTATGTCAACCATATGAAGCTTAGAGGTCTTGATATTGAGACAGAGCTGAAGGAAGCCATTGCCAAGACTGAGGTCCTGAACATCAAGAAGCTTGGAGATCCTAGATGCTTCACTTTGCCTTGTGAACGCAAAGGGCAAACCTTCAAGAGCTGCCTTTGTGATCTTGGAGCAAGTATCAACCTTCTCACATCCTCTACTGCTAAGGCGCTTGGCTACACTCAACTTCAAGAGAGTAATGTGTCTCTTACCATAGCTGATGGGACAGTAAAGGCACCACTTGGAGCTCTTAAAGATGTACCAATGATGATTGAAGGAGTGGTCATACCAACAGATTTTCTGGTCCTAGATGTTGAAGGAAAGATCAAGAACGCCATCATTATAGGGAGACCATTTTTAGCTTCAGCTGGTGCAGTGTTTGATGCAAAGGAATGCACAACAGAGCTAAGGTTGACCAAAGAGAAGGTTCTGAAGTTTGACTCCAAAGGGAACAAGCTGGAAGATGAGCAAGCCTTCTCAATGGAGGTCAAGAAGTTGAAGAAAGTTGGTGAGCATTGGCACGAGTTTGAAAGCTATGTTGGTGCAAGCTTTGATAATTGCTGTCTGTCCAAGATGTTTGCTGATACCACTGAAGAGGAGGTCCTCGAAGTGGCTGTTTCTGATTGTGTGAATGGAATTCTGCTGGGTAACAAAGAAGATGGGGTTGTCTTGAAAGCCTTTGTTTCTAAGTATGGTGAGATCCACTACAAGCTAAAGGAGGGAAGCAAACCAAAGCCCTTTGCTGTGTTGAAGATT